CTTTATTATATTTGAGGGAAAGAAAGCTGATGTATTCTAAGACGATATTTAGATTTATTATTTTCCGATAAAAAGAAACGTTACTAGACTTTTTCAGATTGCTTAACATCTACCTAAAAATAGAAAATATTATACATTAGTTTAAATCAGATTCGCCTTAGCATAACACACAGTGCGCTCGACCGTTTTATTGTCGTTTTTCACAGATTGTGAAAAAATAACCAGTAAAAAGTCAATTAAATTAATATCGTTTTTTTTTTTGGCAAATAATAAATCTAAATATCGTCATACAATACATCGGCTATTTTCTGCTGAGATATAATAAGGAGCTCACTACAATTACAGGTATCCAGTGCAAAAAAATTTTCAGAAAAATATCGAAGTAATAGTTTTTGGTCGACATTTAGGAGTAGTATTAAATTGTTTTTTTCCATGGAACATTAAATCCGTTAGTTCTCAGGTAATTCTTCATAGTACTCCAAGTAACTGGTTTTAGATCGCMGGAATCAGCATTATAAACTGTAATATCTTCATCTAAAGGTAAATATTTATTACTTCTACTGGAAAAAGATTAACACTCTGTGATRTRKATCTACAAATAARGTTCTAACTTATTTATTGTAAATGATATTTTAAAAGATTAACTAAAAGTTGATATCGAAGATTATTCAAAAAAGAAAAAAAAAATTGCCGTTTCTCTGCAATGTCCCATGCTGCAGCAATAATGTTGTCGACAACATAATCAGCAGGAATTATATAGCAGAYTAAATCTCCATCACAATACAGCGTTCGTAAAACACCGGTCAAGCTACCAAAAATAGMACCTGTTAGTCAATACAAATTGTTTATTAGTCAAGTGATTGGTTCTTTTTCTGTTGAGACAACAATAGATGGCCGAACAATTCCAGTGGGAATTCCATTAGAATATTGCCGTACTGTATCTTCACAGATTGCCTTTGAAAATGCGTAGATGTTAGGCCACTTACCCAGTAGCCTGTAAAACAAACGAATATGCTTATCGATTTATCTCTAAAAGAATACAGTAGGTTTTTATGTTTTATTACTTTGGGGTGATTAAATCTAATTGGTCTTCGGTCAAAATCTCTGTCAATCAAATTATGTCTTTTGTCTTCATAGGTTGCTTATGCAATTTTTCTTCGATTTTATTGTAAACACAGTGCRARTAAGCTGTTGAAACATAAATAAAAGCCYAAAGAACAAAATTATTATAAAGTTAGAACAATTTATTTTTAAAATTAAACTAAATTTTATATATAAATAAATTGATCTAGTCGGGAATTGTGCTTATCCAAACGCATTTTTATACGGATGATTTAACAAGGAAAAAAATACATTTAAGCTTGTCATCTCTTGTGCAAGCAAGAGAAGATCCCTTGTTCCTCTAATATTTGCATTAACTACAATACGAATATTGTCCAGAAAACGTACTGATGCTGCACTGTGAAAAATTACATCGGTATCTCAAATGCGATAGCGGTCCTTCTCTGACAATCCTAAATTTAATAGACTCGTGTCTYCTTCAATCAAAATAATTTTCTTTTMAACATCTTTTTGCTCTCTCTTCAATCTATCGAAAATCTAAAGATTTAAATATAAATTGTAATACTGGTGAYATCGTTTATTCCGATAATAATAAATACATATTGTTTAACTTTCCTTTACAACATCATTAAAATACTCTTTAAATCGAGTTTTCGGAYCYTTTTTTTTCTTTGCCCTAACCAGTAAATAAATCGTTGTTATTTCTGGACAACATCTGCAAACCGCAGCAATTGCATTTATAGTACAAGTTTTTAGCGGAAAAWTATTTCTTATAAARCAAAACATTKTKGTGTCAATGTTTAAATATAGAAGTAAGGAGAGAAGTAGAAAAAGAGAAAAATAGAGAATAATCATTGTTATCTTTAAATACAGGTACTMTTAGATAGATATTTTCTGCTGAATTTAATATATTTTCTAGCCAATAAATCTGTAAAAAAAAATAGTTATCCTTTTGCATGACAAAAACTCTATGCTAATTTCCTTATTTAGAAWGCTTACATTGCTTTGAAAGATAAAATTAATTAATAGACTTTAAATTTGAACAATATTTTTTGTTATTTATTTCACACAATATGAATCTCAAGRAGAWTAAAACTACTAACAAAAACTATCCGATTGTACATACAATCCTAATTTATTTAAAATTTATGATTGGACGCTTATAACAAATGTACGAATTGAATGGAGAACAAAAACATAGGAGAAGAATATTTACCTYAAAAGTTTTTCCATTATAAGCCTTCCTATAAATCCTAAGCCTCCTGTTATAAAAATTTTCTTTCCAGAAAAAAATGTAGCAATTTCTCCTCGTTGATTGTAATAATTCGGTTCTTCTACCATTGATAATATTTCTTTTTGATACGTTTGTCCGCTTAATGATGCCATTTTTTGAATTCTTTTATAATAAAAACAAAATATTACAKAAAAATAAAGTAAGAAAAATTTCACTTTATAGTAATTATCGATGACAGACAGATCTTGAAGATGAGTAATTATTTATAAGTGATTGAAATAGATGCTTTTATTTCTGATTATAGTTCTAAGTTGTTCGTTTTTAAATACATGACAATTCAGTTTTTATTCTTCTTAAATAATTTYCCTATAGTAACAAACAAATAAAATAAGTATATTTATTCTAATAAAGTATTTATTTTATAGAATTAACATTTTATTGAAATAACGTTTAAACAAAAACATGCTAATGAATATTTATGCTATTTAATATAACATCAAAAAATTTCTTATCCATCTTTTAGTTTTATTCGAAAAATAAAAAAAAAACTTGAAAATTTAGTTCGTTTGTCCTTTTACCTGATTTATAGGTATTACACTTATTTAGAAAATTTGATCATTTGTGAATTTAACAGTTAAGAATAGTATAGAATAGTAAGTAATAAAAAACTTACCTATTTATCTCAACAACTTTTATCACAATGAATATAATAAAATATGTCGACAAGTTTTTCGATTTTAAAATATTAAACAAAAACTTTTATTAACTTTTTATCTTTTGAAGAACTAAGTATCTTTGTTAGTTATTAAAAAGATTATAATAAACTAAATATTAAAAATGTCCTCTTTATAAAAATATCTTTAGAACTTTTTCTAAGTAACTTAGTTCAACTCCAAATAATGATTGAGTAATATTAGTTAGTCGGTCTCTGCATTTATATAGAGATAATCCCACTTACGTTCAATGTGCACGTTTGATAAAATCAATTTGCATACAATACAATAGAAATCAACAAAGTCATCGTGATAATATTCGTTTTACAAATACATACTAATTGAATTATTCTAAATTTTACACCGTCCTATAGCAGTTTTTTCGTAAACTATTACCATTTTGATCACGGTACACTCTCGAAAAAAACTAGCAATTAAGACAGCGTACAGTAGTCCCAAATTTATAACATGTTTCCAAAAAATGACAATACAGTTTAATATTTTGGAGAATTAGTATATGAATTTTTTTGAAATAGTTGACTACAAATCTAATATTAGCTCTTTAACAGAAAGAATGGAAAACACAACACTAAAGATAATACTTATGTCAATTTAAATGAAAGTAATGTTATTTTTTGCGAGATCTTTATTATAAACGTGTCCTTTTTTATTGTAATTATCGATAGGATTGTTAAATCTGTGCTAGATAGGTAAACATAAACTACTATTCACGAGATAATTTTTTTGATAATAAAGACTNGATTCTTGGCTTCCGCTTGTTTCAAAGCTTTTCTCTTTTGAATCAGTGCTTTTCGTGCTTCATTAGCACGGTTGAAAACTCGATTGGCAACATGTAAAACACACTCTAATTTTTTGATAACAAAATCTTCGCCGTAGAGAAAAACATTTAGCAACATTTGAAAAGTTTTCGTGTCGCCATCGCCGATATAAAAACCATATTTTACGGAGAACTTCTTGAGTGATCGAAGAAACATCTCCACGATACCATTAACCTCCATCTTCCTGGCACTACCTTCATGGTTTATCGTACAATGCGTTTTATGCTGTTCGTACCAGGCAAGATAGTTTACTTCCTTCACTTTTCTTTTCCACATCTTACATCCCTTACAGTAAGTTGACCTTATAGAAACGTCGACAATTTTTCCACTGTATTTTAAAATTAGAGAAACTATTCCAATCAACGAAGAGAATCCTCTTTTGGCCCAAGASCCGTCGCCAGAAACAGACAGAATATCCTCTGGTTTTCCTCGTTTCTTGTTTTCGAGTTGCTCTTCGGTGACGGCTTTATGCGACACTACGTTAAAAACAGCATTGACCGCGATTAGTATAGAGTCAAGGATTCCATAATATGCAGAGATACTTAAACCTTTTCCGARGTCCATAAGGTTGCAAAACATATTTATACCATGCACACCAATACCAAGTAGACGCATCACAAAAACAAGGCGACGATTCACTTCATACCCGGTTCCAATCATCGGSCACGAGTCGATAAACTTTTCTCYGCACGCACAAGATAATCGTACTTTGAAGCCTAATCCTCGCAAACCGTATCGACTAAACGAAATTTCTCAATCACAATCTTTACACTTAACATATTTTGACAACATCGAAAAGACCAGAAAGAAACTTAAAATACTGTAACCGGATGTTTTATCGATATTWACGTYAAAATTTGGATCTTTAGACGATCCCAGTTTTTCAGTGGATTTGCTTGTATTTTGTGCGCTGTTAACTTCATCGGAGAATCGATTGCAGTAAAATTTTCGCTTTGCACCTTTTCTACTTGGACGATAATTACTTTTTTTACTAGATTTTCTATCCATTGTGGKATTCCGGACAGAGAGAAATATATATTTACATAAGAGTAGCGTGGTTACAGAAATACAGAATTAAAAAGGGTTGAAAATATATGACCGACTGGCCGTTTTTGCAGAATAACAGATAACACACAGATAGATACAGATGGACTAATTGAGGACTGAAGACTAAGGACTAATACCGACTAAAACTAACTAAGGAGACTTTCTTTCTTTTTCCCCACATATTTATATCAGAAATGAATTTCTTCTCCCTTTGGAGAAAAAATGAGATAATTAATCTTATTGACCAATAGCATAAGGATCMACTCCAAAGTCCACCGATGGGTACAGCCTATGTTTTTTTTTGTAGTGGAAACTATACATAAAAAAATCTGATCTAGATTATCGAAATTTTATTTATATATAATATCGAACGTGCTTACATAGGAATTTGTTACTCCTCAAAGGTCCCGACACCGCAGAAAAGGTTATAATCGCACYAATATATCTCGATAATTCCTAGGTTTGTTTATGGTTTTATGGCCCTCCTAAACTTTCCTTTTAGTCTCTGCATAGAGTTTTTCTTTCCAAAAAAAAAGAATATAGGGAAAAAACTGAATACTAGTTTTCTTTTCCTACACCATTCTGAATAATATGCAGAGACATTTCCACTTAAACAACCGTTTATGGTTTGTCTCCTCTCTTTGTAATATCTCTGTGTTTGGGTCGCAAAATAATATACTTAGACTGCTCGGATCGTTCTAAAATTTTTGTATGATAATTCTACATATGTTTACTTTCGAAAAATACAAAAAAAAATTAATTTTTTTAAAATTATAAACCAGAATGAACCCTTAAATTTGATTTTTATATGTTTTTGTGAAAAATATCCAAAAAGATGTACTGATTTATGCATATATGAAAATTATATTATAAACTGTGATATTTGCGTATTTAAGAAACTTATAGTAATTTTTCAAGAAAATAAAAACATTTTTATCAAGTGAAAACAATTACATCAAAATGACGTCAAAATGATTTTGCGCTATGTCAGGATTTACGTAAGATATAAGTCAGATATGAGTCACATGTGACTCATTATTTCACTTTTATTGACGTAAGACTTTTACGTTATAAATATGACGTTAAGCTAACATGACGAAACAAAAGAACAAAAAAGAAAAAGCAATGATGTCATACATATGTCTAGTTGTTGCCAAATTTCTTACTAGTATATGACGTATAATTTTTTTTTCACCCCCGGGACTTGAGAACTCGGGAACATACGATTACTGGATGGACATTACTACTGGGTGGTGATTTGCCTCACTGAGCAATGCAAACTTGTGCTAATTTCTATTATATTACTAATCCATATAAAATTAACAATATTATGTTTTATAATTATTAAATTATAATAAGTAATAAAATATAACATAAATTAATAATATAAATTATAATTAACACGTTCTGTGCCACGTGTACCACCGGTGGTACAATAACCATTAAACATATTTATTTAATGCACTGAAAATATATACTTATAAGGTGACTTACCGTCACCGTTTTTTTAAATATATGTATATATATATTTATACATACATATGTTAGTGCGAGTCATAAAAATCAATTATTTTTTTTTTACAAGTACTACAGAAAAATGGGTTTGCTAGACACCTTAAAAAAATTCTCACAAAATATGAGCTCYTAATTTTAATAGGAAAATCTACCGCATCGCAGTTTTTTATTTTTTTCTCAGTCCAATAGAATAAAATTCATACCTTATCATTAACCGATTGTATAGAAAAATGTTCTAATAGTATTTTGTAGGAAATTTAATTCTCTACAACAAAGATATCTTATATTTGTTTCGTAAACCTCACCATTTGAATGATATTGAAGATTAAAATTTGATAATTTTTAGACAAATTTTATTTTTATTTATGAAKTTTWTAACTTGACAATAAATGACTATTATGAGATGCGCAATACAAATTTTTGTAGGAAATTTACTGCTCTATAAAAATAGTGTCTTATGTTTTGGCAATTAAATTAAGCGTTCAAAGATATTCAGAGACAAAAATCAGTACACATGAAAGTTTGATGATATATATATATGGGGGATTTCACGTTAAATCGGTCACGTTTGACTCCGACCCCTTTTGATTTAGCTAAAAGTTTTTTATCCTATGCTACCCTATGAAAAACAATTTTCAGAAATTATTTCAAATTTTTTTACCAAACCCAAGAAAAATTTTTAATTTTTGAAAAAAATTGCTATTTTCTTTGAAATGGCTATAACTTCTTTAAAATTCAACCTGTTAAAACGTTTTTTTTTTTTAATATTTGTTTCTTAATGTACTTTTCAGAAAAAAATATAAAAAAATTTCAAAATTATAAAATCCATGAAATTTTTGTATTTTTTTGAGAAAACTCGTTATTTACTCAAAGTTCGCCATTTTTTATTTTTTTTTTATTTTCTAGAAAAAAACTTTGTATAAATCTGCGATTATCCCC